ACACTGAATGCCTGACGTGGTTCTGACACATAAATAGGTAATTCAGTGGACTCGCCCTGTATTTACTGAACCTGATCTGTTACTCTTTATCAAAACACAAGATAGACACATGTTCTCATGTTTGTTTTTTAATACATATCATGTGTTCCCCATCATTGGCTTTATATTCTGTTGAAGTGACTGTCAGGGCAGTGGATTTGAATAGCTTTTTATAAACCTCCAGGTGTGTGTGTTTACAAATGAGTGATTGCCTCCTGGGACAGATATAATGGAAGGTTTGACCTCTCAATAGACATCAGACAATCAAAACTGTGTGAAATCAGTTTGGATGTCTTCTCATATTGCATGTGACCAAAAGAAAAGTTCATTTTGATATTTTTTGCACCTTAGGCTCTGTAACATTTCACTGAAGGCCATTTTCTTTGTTTTGCCTACATATTATGTGTAGGAATAAATCTCTCATTTGGGCTCGTAAAACCATAGACCTCTGATGTTCATTGCTGGTTCTGCAGGCTGTCCTGATGAAGTTGAGGCGGAGCAGGAGGAGCATGAGCCAAATGAACAAAAGGAGTCACCACAGCCGTCCGCCCCATCGGGAGGAGCCAACGCCGGGGGCAGAAGAAACCCACCTGGGGGAAAGTCCAGCCTCATCCTGGGATAAGGCCACTCTTTTTCATTCAAATGCTTTTTTATTTTTTAAATATATCACCCACCTCTCTGTCCCTCTCATCACTTCTCCCCTCCTCCACTTGTGCAACCTTTTGTTTTAAACCTTTTTTCTATTAAAATATGAAAAAAAACTGTTGAAAAAGGCACTTTATGTATTTTCTGTCCTGTTATATTCAGCCCATCCTGTAGTGCATCACGCCTGCTGGAAAAGGCATGCTTGTCTCGCGTTTCTCCCTTATTGTAAATGGTAAAAGATAGAAAAATACTAAAAAGATTTGATGCGTGAATTTCTAAATACAATAAAGATTGATATGAAATTCTTGTGACTTTTTTTTCTTCTAAGAGTTTCTGGAAAAGTAACAAAAACTGGTCTAAGAAATGGAAAGTAAATTTGACCCAAAATCTACAATCAAGCCTAGTTGGGTCATTTTTCAGTGCTGTGCAACGTGCTGTGGACAGTTATAAGAAATCCAGACTTTGAGACTGGAAGACTGCCCAGCCCCAGTAATCACAAAGCCAGCTCTGTCAGCTGAGAAATGTCTTCAACTAACACTATGCTTCTCCTGCACAGCCCGTTCAAATGTGTGCGGTGTTTTCTGGAAACTTTTCAAACCAACTAAAATGTTAAATGAGCTCATGTGTACAAATCTTGATAGCGCTGTTTAGGCTTTATTAGGAAATGTGTGTCAAATGTGATTCTGGCATGTAGCATAGTGTTTTAAATGGCTCAACCACACGGCAAATCAAATACAGTACTTTTTAGTGTGTACTTTTAACTAATTTCAATGTTACACAAATTGTTATCAAAACAAAAAAAAAATTAAATACAATTATTTTTATATATATATATATATATATATATATATATATATATATATATATATATATATATATATATATATATAAATAAATTAGTAGTTAGTAGTACTATGCACTACTATGCATCTAGTATACAACAACACAATTGTAATATGTTAAAGTATTTTCAAAAGCACTGCTTTAATAGGCCCAATAATGATGTGGCTTTATAAAGTCTTCCTTAAGAGTGTGATTTGATCCTACAATGACCTAAACATCAAAGACTGACTGTACTTGGTGATTTGCTGTTAGATGGGGTCTCCATAAGCTTCTTACTGTGGATCTAAGAGGCAGATCATCTCTGTAAAATAAAGCTTCATGTAAATCTAATCCTAGATTGAATAAATCTTTATTGATTAAGAGCTCAGGTACCACAAGCTGTGGAGACGACAGGAATTCATGTAACAGATATTTGTAATCTGTTGTTCATCACTATATTTAGCTGCAAATATGTCATTTATATGTACCATGCATTAAATGAAGAGCTATAGTTTTACTCCAAGTAAGGCACCATGTTTGCTGCTGCTGCATAACCAAGTGTGAAGTGAGATGTGACACACCAGTGCATTTCAGCCTCGTCTCGTCGGAGGAACGCTGAGGTCACTCCCGATCAGGAAGGAGCTTCCTGCCCTGGAGAAATGCCAGGACGTTGGTCTCTGTGAATACTTCAGTTCACTGGGAGCCCAAAGGAAGGACTATTACTTTTTATTATCTGAGGGCACAGTACACATTGCAAAACAAAAGAGATCGTCCAATTAATAATTAAAGTAACTCATTAGTAGTTCAGCTAGATTCGGTCAGTTAAAGGTGCACTACATGACTTTTCTAGTGGAGAGTCTGCCACGTTCTTGTCTCCATGGGGATGATATTGCTTTATCTGCAATGTTTCACAGTATTGCATTTTAAGTTTCATCTCCATGGAGACAAGGTATAGGTAAGATGTAGAGAGGCAAACCTGCAGAGTAAGATGCATTATTACGGGTATGTTTCAGCAAAAAAAGACAAGATAGAAGTTTAATAGGCAAGTGGCGGATCCTCACTAGAAAGATTACATAGTGCACCTTTAAACAAAATGTAGAATGCAATTAACTGGCACAATTCTAATCATATTAATTTAAATTGATAAATAATCATTTTAAACAAAGAGATAAATGAGAAATTTCTTTGGAAGCTAACTGGTCTGTCTCATGCATGGGCCCTTGTTGGTTGATTTGACAATGTGGACAGTATTAGTAAACAATAAATACTGAATTACAGATCCCCCATTGATTATTCTCCTAATCTTTTCTAGAACGGCTCTGGATTACCATTTTCCTCCCCCAGAGCCATATGCCCAACTATTTAACTGCTGTGTAATGAATGACTAAGGCCACACCGCTCATTTGAAACTATAGACTATTGACACAATCATTAAAGCATGTGCGGTCCAGATGAGGCTGTGTCCCGGGGGAGCTCTGAAAAGAGGCAGGATGTGAGGGCCTGAAAAGGGATTAGGAAATGAGCAGAGTCATTGCAGAGAAACAGTTGATCAATATGCCCCCATGCTCTTAGACTCGGCACACACTTTTAGATATGTCTACTGTGATAAGCTGTCTGCTGAGAAATTTGGTGAAGAGTTTTGCTTTGTTTTAACCACTTTGCCCTGTTCTGTCACAAAATGAACAACACTATATCAGCCATATACTATACAACATCTGTATTAAGCATGATATATTAGAACCTTTAAGCCTCCAGTCTAATCAACTAAATGTTATTAAATGCAGATAAACTCATTCTGTGATACATTTAAAAATAAAGTTAATTGTTTCAGAAATTATAGTGTCTATTTTGGTATGACCAGAATGTGCTTTATCAAAGTCAGTTTTCACCCAACAACAGCTCAAAACAGGAAGTACCTGGGTTTCCATTGGCAACTGACTCTGGCCTGGTCCATAACCCTTATACTAACCCAACGATTAAAAATGCAAGTAAAAACAAGCCACTGCAAGTAAAATAAACTGAATTACTAATATGAGTAGGCCTACAAATGTTATACACTAGTAGTTATGACAGACCACAGAAATGGGCACATTAGAATAAGAATGTGACCAGGCTCTTCCACAAGAGATCAGAATTCCTTTTATTGATCCTTGAATAATAATGTGATTAATGTGGTGACAAGTTAATAGATTTATGGATTTATTGAGACTTTGTTAATAGCACTTTATACAGCTGTTCTTTTGTGACGTTGGCTGTAAAGATAAGAAGGCGTGGCTTTCCTTGATTCTGGGGAATGAGATTTCATTCTGCAAGTTTTTATTATAGGCTATAGGCCTAACAGATGTTGCATTCGTGGGAAACTGCATAACTCAAAAATTAACAGAATTTCATATCATGTAAAAATTGCATCTGTCCAGCAGGCTACTTTTTTAGCTCACTGTGTCTCAAAGTGATAAAGAGTATTCATTAAAAACTATTAATTTTATTTGTGTACTTTTAACATATTGTCAGTGACATCCACCCACTGCTCCCTGTTCACTGCCTCATCTTTAAATATTTATTAATTTTAGCACAACACTAAAACTGGACAGTAGTAAAAGCAGTGACACTAACAGGTGAGGTTGCCAGGTGCTGTTCTGCACAAAGCCTATTTGCAGCCAAAATCTTTCCTGCTGTAGTTCGTTCTGATGTCAACAGGGGGCACTATCTACTTTCCCTCGTCCCACATAAACTTATGACCTACTTTTGATGTGGGCCAGCTATCTGCAGATCAACAAGTGCAGTTAGACAGTAGAACAGTAGACAGACTCTCTCTCTCTCTCTCTCTCTCTCTCTCTCTGTCTCTCTCTCTCTCCCTGTCTCTATCTCTCTCTCACTGTCTCTCTCTCTCTTCTCTCTCTGTCTCTCTCTCTTTTTCTGTCTCTCTTTCTCCCTGTCTCTCTCTCTCTCTTTCTCTCTCTCTGTCTCTGTCTCTCTCTGTCTCTCTCTGTCTCTTTCTCTCTCTCTCTCTCTCTCTCTCTCTCACCACTTTATTATTTAACTTTACATGCATTAGAAAATAGTTGTTCCTCTTTTCTTCGGTAAGCATTTTAGCATGATCTCATAGTCAGCAAATACCAAACAAACACCAAAGTCAAATCCAAACTGCTTTTTGTTAAGTTTTTGTGAAGCGCTGTGAGAACTGCTGTTGTAATCCTTGGATATAGGCTTCATAATTAAACTGAATTACATTTAGCTGTAGATGAAATAAAATATTAAGTGTTAAGGTGTTAAGGGCAACATTACAGTAACAAGCTTGATTAAATGCAATTGTGGCACACATATCTGATCTGTAATCTGTAGGCTATCTCAAATTAAAAACTAAACCAAATAAACCAAATAAAAATATACCTTTAAAGCAAGCTGTTTAGTATATCAAAATATACAATGTAACAACCCTTACTGATCTCAAAACTCGTTCACCTACGCCTAGACTCGTTTGTGTCACGTGGTCACAGTGTTGTTCACTGAGGTTTTTAAGACAGACAGACATCGTTCTCAGCACTCAAACTTCCTGACTGTGAAGTCAAAATGCCTACTTTGTGGTGGGTTTTCTGGAGATTCTGTGCTGTCTTCTGCATCTCTGCCTCCACAACTTTATGCAGCAAAGGTGAGTCAGGTTAACAAGAGTTCTAACTGTGAAATTAACTTGATTTGAAATATCTCTTTGTATTTAATTTAATTTCTTAGTGGAATGGAGGGATCCAGGAGTGTCCATCACCATCAAGTGTGAATTTAAAGATGAACAAGAAAAAGCTTTTCTACTAAACGTGAAGAAAGGCTTGAACAAAAATGATGATTTTTACTACAGAGTCCAATCTGAGACACCAAGATTTGCTTTTCCTGGTAGAACACAGACTGACAATGAATTCCCAAATACACAAATTGTGCTGAAGAACCTGACAACAAATGACACTGGGGTGTATTGGTGTTTGTATGAAACATCAGTGCAGAAAGAAATTGATGGTGGATCCATGCTGTTGGTTGTAAGAGGTAAGACTAAGCAGTAAAATTTTGCTGTTAGGGTTTATGTTGATAACATGTATTTTCTTTTAGATCCCCCTCATAAAGATGACAAGTCTACAGATTCAGCTCATGCTTGCAACACGGACGAAAGACACCAAATCCTGATAGTGACATCTGTGGTCATCTCATCTATAGTACTGCTTGCTGTCTTCATAGCTTTACTTCTGTTGACAATCCGAAAGGTAATCTTCGCAAGCTGTTAGTCTAAAAGATTAGTGGAATTTCTGGGGGAGGTTCACTCAGTATGTTCCATTATGATGAAGTGTGTTTGTTCAAGAATTTAAATATAAATGTAAAATCTGTTTTGCTTAGATCAAATATTCCCATGGAGGAAATAAATCAAGGCCACTTCCTCATAATGATGTGTATGAAGACATGCGAGGTACCATAAGACGCTGATGAAGATGAAAATGTGTTTCTGTGATGGTTCCTTCTCATTTAAGCCATCAATGAAGATCTCTATTGTTCCAACAGACTTTGAGCGACTAATACAACTAACAATATGATTGTGTATAGTGTGTATATTGTAAATATTGTTTTTAAAAACTTTTTTTTTATTCTGTAGATTTTTCAATAAACATTTTGTTAAAAGTAGCTTGTCAGTTTTTATATACAATATTATTTGTATACATTTTTAACACATAATCCTTTAGCCTAATATTTTGTCAGTACATAACAAAAAAACATTTTTACTTCGATCAGAGTACCTTGATCAATTCTAAAATAAATACTATTAAAACTAATAGCAATGTGTGTGTGTGTGTGTGTGTGTGTGTGTGTACAACACATTCTGAACATTCCTGTTATTATAACTTTCATGACAAACATATGATACAGACTTAAATAAATAATAAATCTCCCATGGTTTCCTGTGTCCTCCAAAATGTGTTGATGTCATACTCTCAGATGGGGGCAAGAGCTATTTCTCCCTATTGATTACATTGTACTTTATCATGAAATATCTGAAAGGTAAAGCGACAAACCTTGAACCTGGTAATTCCTCTTATTGACTAGATCCAAGAACTCATTGTATTAACAGGAAAATTGGCATTTTAACAATATTAATTTTATCTGCCCTGCATCTGTATTAAATAATATGGACCTACAGAATAATGTGATGTGATCTGAAACACAGACGTCACTACAGGGACAACACTACACTGGCTCATTGTACTGTCCTGCCCCTGTGGCCTTCTGCTCAATATAAGTTTCAATATTTGGCCCTCAGTGAAAAACATTTGTACATCCCTGGCAATATGAGTTTCTAGCTCATGTCAGAAGAGCTTGTTTAGCAGAGTGTGTAATGTGAAGAGCAGCTGCATGCATCATGTTTACTTATGAAATATATGTGGTCACAGAGTGCTACCTGCGGAGCGCTGCGGTCTGAAGACCTACGCTCAGAATCACAGAGCAGTAATGCATTACATTCAAAGGAAGTTTGAAAGCCGCACTATAAGGTCCGAACAATAGAAAGGTTGAAAGAAGCAAAAACACAAACCACACTTACAAGAAACACAACAACCCAGAGACCCCAGCGTTTCCTATTGTTATGTCTTAGCTGTGCAAAGGCAATTAGTGCACTATATACTTGGTTACAGAGGTCCTAAAGGTATAGACAGAAACTATTCAGCCTGCAGATGTTTTTTTTTTTTAAACAAATAAATATTATTAATTATTTATCAGTACTTTTTACTTCAAGGTGCACTGTGTAAGTTACAGGTCAGATCTGTGGGGAGGTGCCCTGTTCACAGCAAGTCTTTACATAGAAACAAAAACAGCTGTAATTTAGTAAATGCAATAGAAGTTTATTGCCTTACAAACCAATAGCAAATCCACGGAAACAAACAGATGGCAGACGCTCCACCATAGAAGTTACATAGTGCCCCTCTAACTCATTTTCTTTTCACAGCCTACTTAAAGGGCCCATATTGTGCTATTTTCTGATCTAGTATGTTCTAATGTTGCCCGTGTCAGAAACATACCTGGAATTGTCTTTTGTTTCAGTCGCACATGTTTAATCCGCATACACATATTTAGGCTGTGTTCTTTCTCAAATGGAAAACACTCAGCTTCACCTTGTGATACCATGTGGGAATACAGGAAGTGCTCCACTGTGTTTTTAAACTCCATACACCTTCACTAGAATCATTTCAATGATTTCAGCCCTGGACTTTCCCATTTCCAGTGAACAAAATGCAAAAGCTAGCTGCTAACATGAGAATTACCACAAGATATCACAATGTGGAACAGAACATATTGAGCTTTGGAGATGCACTCAGCCTAATAATAAAGGATTACTCAAATATGCGTGAATGAAACAAAACACAAGTCCACATATGTTTTTGAGGACGTAACAGCATTCTAAAATGTCTTAAAGTTCACAGGGGTCAATTTTGTATAATATAACTATATATCTTTAAACATGTAGTACTTGAACTTGAAGTGTCACGCGGGTTGAAGGGGGCTGCACTACTTACAGTATAAACTGTACTTGTCAAAGCATGTTACAGGAAACAGTAAATGATAAGTTGCATCAAAGGCAACTTATGACTCAAACCAAAAGGTGTTGTTCACAAAAAACCTGCATCTTCTTTAGTGCTACTTAAACCATGTAAAATAGTCCACAAACTGTAGTAGCATGCGTCAGTAGTGGAAAAAAAAGTGGGATGAGTTTTTAATTTTCCATGTGATGTTTTTTCACTTCCGTCCCAGAGTATGAAGGGCTGAACAGTTCTGTACCTGTAATGCATTGTGGTTCATATAAGCAAGTCATCTTGTGGTATCAAGTCCAAGAAAGAACAAAACTAGTTAAACACATGTACTGTAGGCTGTGAATAACTTAGAGTTTAAAGTATTAAAGTGTAAATGTATTTAAATCAAATTATTTTCAGTAAGGTACTGTAATAGAAAATTACATGGAAAGGTGAGGGGATTAAATCAAATAGAAACAAGTTTAAAAGTTTATTTAAAGAATGGTTAATCACATTTTAATGATTAACCAGTAAAAGCATGTGGATAGGAGGACTATTTTTTTGTGTCAAATGACAATTATTAAAAAATAAATAAATCAGCTTGTTCATCCTGAGGTAATTTGAAAATCATCTGGTTTGGTTTTAATGGGACAAAATAAAATGTATTCAAAATCACAATCATCATAAATCCTAATATATTTTTAATTTGAACAAAGATGGTTTTAGGTCTGTACTATGTTACCTGCTAGAAAAACTGATATTGTAATAAAACTTCAACTATAAATGAATGCAATGTGTTTATGCATCCAAATGTCTCAGCATGTGTAATTAATAGGTAAGCTTGTATATAGTACATTTCACCAGATTTCAATACAAGATATAGGCAAGCTTTTACTTGCATGTCTCTCTCATTTAGTTTCTTCAGTATCTAACAAAATGTGGCAGGAAGTGATTTCATGAAACTAAGCAGTAAAGTTAGCAGCATCAAAAGGTATATCTATAAACAATCTGCATGGTGTGATTCAACTTCCTGTTTTTATGTGTCGCATCTGTCTGCTGTTAAATATCAGAATGTGTGTCATCTTATATAACTTGAAAACCAAGATTGCCTAGTTAGGTCCTAGTGATATAGCTAACAATCTTTTTGACTTGTAATAATTGTATTTGTATGTGTAAGTAAATACATGACTTTAAAAACATTGCCATCATTTTAGATTTTCACATCCAGAAATATTGGAGTCTTCACGTGGTTACTGTCCTTATAATCCACTAGCATTATGATCCACTCTTTAGTTTGTAAACAGAGGCATATACTTTGCCTAGTAATATCAATATTGATTGTACACTTCCCTTGTTGGCAAAAAAAAACAAACCCCTATACATCCACAGGAGGTCGCTGCTGCTCACTGCTTAAACTTTCAATTTTACACAGAAAGTTACAGGTCCAGTGTTATGCAAAACTGACTCTTTTGAGCTTTAAGACATGTTATAATGTTGTTATCTCATAAAAATCATTCCTGGAGTTGTGTTTTGTTTCATTGTCATATAATCCTTTCTTACTGGTCTGTCTACATCTCTGAAGCTCAAAACACTCAGCTCCAACCTGTAATGTAATGAAGAGGTAGTTTTTAGGTTAGCAGCACCTTTTAGATTTAGTTCAGTAGATATTGGCAATTCCAGGGCTGAAATCATCCAAATGATTCAAGTCAAGGTGCATGAAGTTTAAAAACATGGTCCCTGTATGATATCATATTGTGGAACAGAATGTTTTCTGTCTGAGAGAAGAACTCTCTCAGACATATGCAGGGTTTGTGTGTCAAACATGAGTGGAGGAAACAAAATACAACTCCAGGTAGTTTTGTAATGAGGAAACAACATTGTGACATAGATCAGAAAATAGCGTAATATAGGCCCTTTAATCTCTGTGAACAAGAAGCAGGTTGCCACACTGGAATATAAAGGGTCACAGGTTATGGGCATGCTGGGTGATCTGGACCTACAATATCTCAATCCAGAATCCAGATCAGCCAGTTTATGAAACACATCAAGTACACTATCAAAGCAAGCAATGCTAACTATTGCCAGAGATAGCAAATAAGCACATTTCACATTATGGAAAAGAAAAACTCAAGTTCAAGCTCTTAGTTCTGCATCCAGGAGCTCTATTTTGCCGCTCAGAGGGCAAAGGCTCTAACTGCGCCCTGAGAGGATGGTCTATGGCACTAGCCTTTATTTTTACCTAATTGGCCTTGATTGTAATTAACCAAGCCCTCACGTATTTAAGCCGATGACTGGTTTATTAAACGTGAGCAACTGTGGTTAACACTGATCATTATGCATTCAAAGCACGTCATTGTCATTTTGAGTGTGTTTAACAAAAGCTGAGTAAATGTTCTTGGTTACTGTAGTTCTAAATCAGAGGCCCTCCGACTTACTGCCAACATCCCCTGTAGGTAAGTCCCATTCGCTTTATGGCGCTGAAGTTCACGTGTGGAAAGCTACAGTAAACCACTCCCGCTGCTGGACTAGGCGTGCGTCAAGACGCAGGTGTGACTGTATCCATTGTGAGGAGACGCTCTTCCAAAAAGTGGCTCACAGCGGGAGCACGCGCAGAGCCCGTGGGTTGTACCTGGGGAGCTAGATCATTCAAGTGGTTCAGAGGAGAGGAAAACCATCTGAAGGAGGCGGCTATTTGGGGATGCAAACTTGAGAGGTGGAAATATTTAAGATATCAACAGGGCATAAGCAACACCAGGAATCATGAAGAAGTCATATCCAAGTGAGTGCTTATCCGTCAGTGCGCGAGTAACTTTTTCCTTTGAATCAAACCTAGCCTCTACACATTTTTGGTTTTCGATCAAACCCAAATTATGTGGTTACGATTTGATGACTTTGATTGCTTGATGTGCTTAAACGGACAGCCATTAGCTCCGACTGCGCATAGTGTCGGAACAGAACTGAAAATTCTGATATGCAACGACAATATTGACGGTGCATGATAATGATGAATGGTTTACCAATCAGAGTGCGTTAATCTATGTCAGATGTCGGTCACTCCCTTCTACGACTGGGGAGGATTACTTGATTTACTCATCTCGGTCACCCCTGCAATCTGATTGGTTC